TGAGAAAAAGCAGGGCCATCTTAACTCACAGTTTTTTAAAATTACATAGATTCTTGGGGGCCTTTGGAAGCCGAGTCTGTTAAAATCTCTCTAGGGCCCTAAAGAACATTGAAGACTCTTGGAGAGAACATATTCTGTAACTCATGAAGATTCAAGTAGAAGTTTCTCGCCCTTCTTAATACCGAGCAACTGTTAAAGTACCGAGTGGGGTCCGTTCAGACACCAGTACTTTTTTTTTTGTTATTTACTCTAAACAAAAATGATTGTTTATTACATCTTGCACTTGAAGAACAGAGTAATTACCTACTAAGTGTAGAAACGATCAAACGAATTTCATATAAGTAATTAATCTATACATTACAACAATACTTATAATCGAGCTTATAATTAAAAGATAATCAACATGTAATCAAATAATACATTAAACAATTCATCTCTAATTAGGCTATTGATTTAATGCGAAAGCATCTTCGCAAATTTTTTTAGTATCGAACTGTAGCTACCTTAAAATAACCACCGAGTGTAATTTAAACTAAACATGGAAACACGTGGGACAAACACCAAGTGAATTTTTGGATCGGTGGCATATAATATAAATGAATTATTAGAATAGATCAATAATCTGCAGTCAAGAGGTGAACGGATTGCTATTTTAAGAAAATCTCTCTACCCACAATTTTTACATAACGAACTAAAAGATCCGATAGATATTTAACAGAATAATACCTACATAAAACGTCGTTATAAAGATAGGGGGTTACCTCGGGGGTGACTATTTTCAATTCAATTTACTAATTAATATTACTCTTTGTTTGAACCTCTTATGAAATATCCACACGGTCCACCAAATCGGAATCATCTGTAAAAGGAAATCTTCTATATTTATAAGCGAGTTGTGGAGGCGTGGTGCATTGAGGCGAGCAACTATTGGTTTACATTTGGGATGTGATTCATTATGGCTCGTATCTTCACACGATTTTTCATAATTTAGTTGCCGCCAGACTGGCGATTTGGCACTGATTTGGGTCGCAAACGTCATTTTTGACCAAAAAATCAAAATATTCAAAAACGGATAAATTTAGGTATAAAAATGAAATAATATATAGGGCGTTCCACTTAAAATAAGCAAGTTGGCATTAACTTCCGATATAACCGAGGGTATACCGAAAGTGTACCAACCGTAAAATATTTTAAATGATTACTTGATGTTCTACTTCGGAACCAACACATTGCCTTGATTTTACTGTTTCTCTTCAGAGTTCAGGAAACAGTGAAAATTAATGAAGGCGTAAGCTCTCTATTTCTCAAGAGACAGTTTGGAATATCTAATATACAATTTTCGAAATGAAAAATACGAATCTCCAAGGAAATACGCATAACCCTATTTTCGCACTCCTGATTAATTAGAGAGCGCAAGAACAATTGGTTAAACGAGATTTATCGAATCGACTAAATCTTGCGTTCTTCAGGTATAGGCCTTTAGTTTTTTTCCCTAAATACACAGGGGAAATTAGGGAGTTAGAAACTGTAATCTCTCCAGCTATCACTTCACATCTTCACTTACAACAGATTTATCAACTTTCACACTCTCCCAGTTAATTGCTAAATTAATTTCGAACTTTCCTTCGAAATTGTCGTGAAGGCCTTATCTCGCCCATTTTTCAAGTACATTAATCTAATTGGCGGACTAAGCAGGCGCGCGCACGCGGTGCACGCTCTTAATATTTATTATAGCGATCTTGGTAATTATAAACGTTAGATGATAAATGCAAGTATGTTACGTCGACCGGAAGAAAGCGTTAACTTCCGGTAGGGGAAGCTCTCATTATGCTATGATGATGCATGACATGACCTTTCTGCGGTCAGGGTCGGATTAATGCGTTACCACATAATTGTTTATTGTTACGTTTGCGAACTAATCGTCTAATGAGGTTCAAAAGTATTTCCCCAGTTCCTAGTAAGCGGTAATCTCCATTTACAGTGTAATAAGCTCATTTGTAATGAAGCAGGTAGTCTGATTATTAACAAGGAAGGTGGGTGATCGATTGAGTGCTGATTAAGGTATAGCTTTCCAATTATTCCTGCTGTCAATTTCACTCTCATTAAAGTGTCCGCGCTGCATTTTCTCGCATTATGCAAGATAAATCCGACGACAATTTGAAAAATTAATTTTAATTTCCATTGTTATGCCAAATACTCGGCCAAATATAATGTTTGTGTTCTCTATTATCTCTATATACTTTTCTTATACAAGATGTACAAAATTACTTTGGTAACGTACGAAGATTTAGGTTCGACTAATACCGGGATATTTTTTCGATATCGTTAGCGACTAGTTGATCTAAGTATTTATCTACTTACTTACTTTTAAAGGCCTTTTTTCGCACGCATGTAAGTGTTTAAAACGGAGATTGTGATTCAGGTATAATAAAAAAGCTATTGTTTGCGTTTTGTCCACTCGTCCGTCCGGATTCGAACTACTTTTAGAGGAATGGTCCTAGACTAATTTTTTGCACAATTTATACTTGCTACCAGTGCATAGATAGAGAAAGAATCTTTTAGTGTACGTACTTAAAAACAGTTAAGATGCGTACAACAGGACCCATAGAGATTCTTTGTTCCAATTTTTGATTTGGTTCGAAGTTATTGACGTTCTTTTGTTTTTCGAAAAATCGTCATGACTTCCTTATTTTAAGGACTATTTTTTAAAAATTATCTTTCAGCTTCTCTAAAACATTTGTATTTGCAATTATTATTTATTTTTTCAAGAAACAATATAGCGATTGATCAAAAACTACAAAAACACATTTTTTGATTTGAAACATTTATACAATCCCTACACCATCTACTATAACATTTGTCCTAAACATTTTTTTCATTTTTTTTCAAATTTCGATTTTCAAAATGGCTCCCCTTCGCCGATTAGTTTGAAAAAAAATATTTAGGACAAATGTAGTAGATAGTGTAGTGTAGTGTAGTGTGTTTTTACGACGATTTTATAAACGTTTTACTTTCAAAAATCGATGGTGTGGTTATCAAAAAATGTTTTTTTTTAAATTTTTAATCATTTGCTATTTTATTATATGAAGCAAAATATAATTAAAAATACAATTGTATATATGTAGAACTGAAAGAGAGTTTTAAAATTTTTTGTTTTTTTCAATAGTCCTTAAAGTAAGGGAGTGATGACGATTTTTCGAAAATCAAAAGAACGTCAATAACGAATCAAATCAAAAATTGGAACTAAGAAAAGTTGTTTGCTACGAGGTTTGCGAGGTTGTTTATTTTAAATCTAACTGTCGTTTTCGGGTGTACCGCCTTAGTATTACCGCCCTGTATAATTAAAAGAACATCTAATTGTATTGTATTTGTTATTTATGCAAGGTCCTGCAACGGTTCGTCGGTCTTTCCTAGCTTACACCTCGTAAAGATTTAAAAAAATCTTATGTGCAAATGTCAACTATAGGTGGTTGCGTATCTATATATATAGAAATTATTTTTGAATATACAGGGGATCTCATTTTAACTGTGTAAATGAATTTTTTTTTAAATAGAACACCCTATATATTTTTAGCTGTTTCGATGTCATTTGTTACCCTATGCAATCTACATTGAAACTTCTTCGCTTTTTGATTTTTTGTCAATGTTGCGATCTTATTAATTTGTTCCGAATAATTTCCCATCAGGGAGCTTCACTTTGATGAATCGTAGCTACCTTGTTTTTTTGAAGTTAAGAAATAAATTTGGGTAATAGTGTTAATCCGAGTAAAGAGAAGTGGGAAAGTTGGATTTAGTGATACAGGGTGTTCACAATGAAATGGTAAAAGTGCCTTAACTATTTTTTTCAAATGGAAGTGGAAGTGTGTGTTCTCTTCAACTTTTATAAGGTATGCCCTGTGTCTATACTTCGTAGTTTTTAGGTTATTCAATATTTTTCACAAAAATACCTGAATTATATGTTTATGAACTAGAGTAGGCTGTGATAATAAAAAAAAACAAAAGTATAGACACACAGGACACAGGACGTCCCTTATAAAAATTGAAGACAACACAAAATACTATCGAATAGCGAAATAAGTTAGTGGTAGTTCTATTTAAAAAAATTAGTTATGGCACTTTGAAATACGGAAAATTTACCATTTCATTGTGAACACTCTGTATCACTAAAAAGAGGTGCCCTTTACTCGGAGTAACATTCTTGCTCAAATATAATTCAAAAAACAAGGTCGTTACGATTCATGTGAAGTGAAGCTTGCTTACGGGGAATTATCCGGAAAAAAATGAATATGATGGCAACATATAATATAAAATATACAGGGTGTTCTATTTAAACAAATCAGTAATTTATTTCCATTCTGTGTATTCAAAAATAATTTGTATAGATGCGCAACCATCTGAAAATGATAAATAAGAAACAGTCCGACAGTAAAATTTCCTGCTCCTTTTCATTTTCGCGTTCAAAATTAGGGGGTCCCATTCAAAATTTTACTTTACTAATTATACTTCCGGTATTTCCGAAAGTGCAACCATTTTGAAAATATTTTACATCGATTCGGATTCAGAGTAACTCCTAAGACAAATTTTTAAAAACCTACCGGCTTCACTTTCCCAGAAACCTTTAACCTTGCTTTTAACTAAAGCTTCCAAAAAAAAAACACCCTGTATAGTCGACACCAATCCCAAGGATGTTGTAAAAGACGTGTTTATAAAAGAAGGTTTAATTATATTTCAATTTCCACTAAAAATTAACAATATGTTGTAACGGTACGCGTTCCTATCTCTAATTTTCTTTTGCACACGAATAATTTTCGATGCTCATATTTTTGCTAAATAAATAATTCAATAAAATCTATAAAGAATAAAGACGAGCATTTTCTACGAGCTACTTGGAATTTGGAAAACGTCCAACTGCGACTGCATTAAATATGACAATTATATGAAATGTATTTTTCTTGAAATATCCTCCTAGTAAACATCGTATATTAAACTCCTGCCTTTTTTCTTTTCAGGTAAGAAGCACCTTCCTTCTATAGCGAACGAAAGATGCTGATGCGTGAGTAGCTAATTACACTTCAATTAATTTTTTACTCGCTACTCCTTCGTGTAAGCATAAAATTAGACGGACCGAGAAAAATTGAAAGGTCACGTGAGTTGCGTTAAATTTATATGAAGCCGTAGAATAGAATTTGTTCGAAACGAGTGGGCCGTGCACGCATTCCTCAAATTTTCTTGGCGCCAGATTCTCGAGTTGGAAAAATAAATTGGTGTGTAGTTCACGGTCGTTTAAGTCGTTTTATTCTTTTGCCAAACTACGTCAAATTTCTGCTTCTCTGGGTAGGCATTTACATGCACCAATTTTTTTTTATACTACTGTAGAGTGTAGATGATCAAGGAAGTGGAAAATCAAACTTGATAGTCAGGGAAAATTCTCGTTTAGAAAATCGCATCTTGAGTTACTATTATATTAGTAGTCATTGCGGGGCAACATCGCTACCCGATGTTCTTCCACTTAACCCATAAACAACTTCATAAGTAAATATCTACATGAATCAAGTGCAATTTATGTCTACTCCTTTTGTAAGTGCAATACATAAATTTTTAGTAAAAGGGAGATGAACACGTGCGTAGAGAAGGTATTAATATCAAAACAGGCTTCCGCCAAAAATAACGGAGCTATAATCGTTTAGTGAATATCAAGCAAATGTGGTAATGGCAATTCGATTGTATCGAAAACCAGTATGCTATCAAACGTTATATCAAGGAGTCGTCGAAAAATTACCTTCTGAAGTACAGGTCTCCACTGAGCTCAAGAAGGACGCTTTCTGCCAATCTGTAACAGACAACAACACAAACAAACAAATAAGAGGGGTAGTGAATAGCGCCGCACTTAAAATATTGCGTACCTGTTTGAATCTGATTCACACTGATCAGGTACTCGTATACTAAACCGTAATTAATACTCAATATGAATCACTAATTCGAAAGGCATACATGTGACAATAAATGACGTGACGTATAAATTTGAAGTAGATACAATCACATGTTTGGTTTCACTGAAATGGCGGTGAAGTTTCCCAAGTCGATAATGTAGAAACATCCATCGCGTGACGCGCGCCAATACCAATCCTAATAAGATGGCGGGTCCCGGTATAAATGCGATGTCATTGACGTACTGCGTAGGTAGTAAGTAATATCCAGGTAGATTATAACGTAGAAGGTCATCCACAAGAGAATTAACAAGAAAACTGCAATGAGATATGGTGACAGCCAAAACAAAAACCCTTATACAGGTAAGACAAGAAGTAAAAATAATGGCCTACCAAAAGAAAAATGTGCATGTAATCAACACGAAGGCAAGATCTTCACTCAAGAGGGAGAACTAAGCAGCGCAAGCAGAATGAAAAAGAAAAGATAGAAGTAGAAATACCATGGGAAACATATGCACGACATCCGTCGGCGAAGCAAAGAACTATTGTAAAAGAAACCTATAACGGCGAGATTAAAGAACTAAGGTAACGAGAAATTTACTATAGAAATTGACTTACATCTTTAAACTAGTGGATTACAATGGAAATACCTAGATAGCGTAAGAATTTAAATAAGAGTAAATCAAATAGTTATTTTAATGGAATGTAAATCAGGAATATCAATCGGTATGAAAATAAACGTTACAAACTGATTCATTATTGGCGATTTACTTGTTTTCTGAATACATTCATACAACTTCAAACTACAGTAACACGGAAATAAAATCAACACGGCGACGTTTAAAAATGGCGACCGGAATGGCTATTCCATCCAAAAAGCTAACCAGATCTGGTATAAATTTAAAATCGGAAAGTGGAACTGAAGTCTAATCTGAAGTACAGTTAGGAGTAATTGAAAATGCTCAACTTAAAGACGCCGGTGCTTTTACACCTAACTTTGCCCTGTAACGTCGGAGGCATAGAGGAAATGAACGGTGGAAAGAATTTTAACCGTTACAAATTACATGATCTTGGGAGGCAGAATCAACGGACAAAACGCAAACAATAGCACATTTTTTTTTAATTCTTAAAAATTGCGCTAAAAATAAATAACACTCTCTCTTTTCCGCTTTTTGAGCTCTACAAGACAGCGTTTCGATTTGGAGAAATCATCATCAACTTTATTTTTTTTATATGGTCGGTAAGAAATTACATACTGTATTGAATAGCATTTTTAGAGGAATTTTTCGAAAGAAAAAGACGAGGAAAAAGATTCCCCATATGTGATGGTTTCATCCGCCTGTCCGTCTGTTCCTCGTCTTAACTCGAGAACGGAAAGAGATAATACTTTCGCCAATCGATTTCTACGAGTTCAAAGAGCAGTGCTATTTAATATGAGCCGGATTAAAAGTCCGGTTCGAGCTGAGTGGCAAAAAATTTCCCTACTGAAAATCGTATGCGATTCTTCGTATTTTGTTTTATTACGAATTCAACAATTCACGACATACAAAAAAAAAACAAAAGTTGGAAACTGATGGTTTTAACAGGATTCAAATGAAATCGTTAGGAGTGCTTCGACACTAATAATAAAATAGGAACTATTCCTTCAGCGCAAGCTACGTTTTCGTTAATTACAACCGAAAGTTTTCAAATTTGTTCAAATTGGAGAGTTCGCCGCTTGCAAATTTGCCAACTTTGTACTCGTACGTACATTCCTTCAACCCTCTCGGAATTCGAAAAAAGTCGATTTTGTTGTTTCCTAACCTCCACCTGGATGGTTTCGCCAAGGGTAAATAAGTGTTCTCTTTGTGAAACTTAATTGAAATTTAGCCCTAGACGTGTGTTTAAACCAACCCGAAAATCGATGCTTTTAATCACTCATTGTCTGAATGCCAAAGGTAAGTAAAACGATACAACGTATTCAGAGTTTGCCTTTATAATGGCAGTTGGTGCTCCATAGTTACCTAACAAAATTATGGTCGTCCTGAAATTCCTTAGATAATTTCGGGTTCGAAATATTACACTGTCTAACCGAGACAATTCCTCAAGGAATGGCCTAGGTGAGATTAGCCTGTACAATTTGACTTTCAAATTTCTGATTTTATATTCGGATAGGAGAGGACGAAATGTAAAACTTAAAGATGCCTTATCTCCGCAATAAATTTCATTTTCGTTTTTTAAATCCCGCACATCAAGCTTACGGTTTCTCCCATCTCCGTTTCGGGATTTGGGGCGTTATCTGGATGTAAGTTGAAGTAGTTTGAATATTCTTGAGGGATATGAGCGCAACCCGTTCTTTCTGTGTGGAATAGTTAATTTTAAGTTGGAAAATCTACGCAAATATTGAGTGTTTCCGCGCGAGTACTCGCTGTTTCGTAGTTAGATTTATTGAGTTTTGTATTTCGAAACTCTCGGAAGCGTGCTTTCAGGTGACTAGCAATTAGGTTATATTCACATCTCTACTTTAACTTGGAAAAATAAGAAAGGAGAAAATATGAGCAATCATTTTTGGTTTGTGCTATATGTATGTGTAATTCCATTCTACAAATCACACGAGCGCAACTTTTCGCGATTTCAAATAAGCAAATGGATCTGTTACGTAATACAAAGAACTTTCGCGACCGGAGTAGGGTATACTGATTAGGGCAGTACACTACGAGCTAACCGGATCCGGGTTCGACTCTCGGTCCCGCCAGACAATTTTTGGTGATTTTTGGTCCGTGGGGTCTAGGGCCCCCTAGGTTTTATCCTGGAGTATACGTGAGTATGAAGCGTAGTGCCTGTCACACTACCTACCTAGCGTTCCGATCAGATACGCCCTAGCACACAAACAAAAAAACTGAAGATTCTGAAATCTTTGTTCTGCAATCTGTTCAATAAGTATTCTCGCACAGTTAGGACGTTGTGCGCGAGTGCACCATCCTGTTGAAACCACCAAAGTTTGTACCTTTTGTTTTTTTGTGTGCCCCCTATAATCGTTGTACGTCCTAAATGTCAAGTCTCTTTTCGACTGTAAACCATAAAATCCAGATTTTTGCTGTTCCCGTTTCCGTGGGAATTTCGGAAAGTGTTTTCAGTTTCATCGCAATCGGACAGATCCGACGAACGTTGTATCTCCTATTTCGGCGAACCTCGTATCCTAACATTTCAATATAATGTCATTACAGTGTGCACATTTTAAATCTATTGAGGTTTTGTGAGTTAAGAGATGCCGTTTCAGGACATAGTGGTGATGTGTTGCAAAAATCACATTGTGCACATTTTAAATATTTGAAAGTATTGTGTATGCCTACTTAACTTTGATTTGTACTGGTACCGGCACGTAAAAATGCTAGAGCGGGCTGTGCGCAAGTGACTTATGCAGTCTGCAGCAGAACACATCTGGCTCCGTGGCGCACAAATAGGCGCAATTAATAGAATATAAATAGTGGGGATGCGTGATCTTTCTCCTTGTTATGTGCCGGGTAGGTAAAGTAGTTCTTTGTATATAATCGCACGGTGCACATTTTAAATCCATTGAAAACTTGTGTCTTAAGAGATGTCGTTTCGTTCCGTCGTTTCACAGGTCTGGAAACTGAGCCTGTTTCCTATGTGAGAAGTAAGGCCGTTACGCGTCGACTGTCGCGTAGTATGAAAAGTCGTCACGGGCGACGCATGAGTCGAGGAATGTTCTTTGGCAACTGTCATGGCTTACTTGTAGCCACAAGGGGTAGATACCGCCGCTTTTAACCTCGACGCAAAAATGCGATTCCGAAAAGTTATTTTAGAACGATGTTTTATTGGCGTTTATTGAATCTATAGAAAATAATTCGCGGCAAATTCCACCTACAACTTAGCCGCATGCCTATTCATATAAATTAAGTCTTCCCTAGAATCTTCTCCATTGTGACATTATAACAGCATCGTTTCTTTTAATTAAAGTAATTAATACAAAACGTCCCATAAATTTAGTGAACGTATAGTAAAAAAAGGGCGCGTGTTCGAATTCGAACCTGTATCGATGTAGAACTTTTGTCGACATTTGAAAGTGCAAAAAAATAAAACATGTTCTCCTTGAAAAAATCATATTTTTAAGGTTTGAAGTTAT